TTATACAATGACAAAATTCGTAAATTCGTCGTCTCTGGTCCTTACCAGAGACGAGGTTTTCGTAGGAATTTCGGAATTTCAAGCTAACTTTCATATTCGCAATGTTGGGTATTTCTACATATAGGTTGAAACAGAAAAGCCCAGATTAATTTTATTTAATTATATAGATTAATTTTATCCAATTAGCTGATTGTTACACTCGTGGTATAAGACAGACGAACTAACAAATTTGTTGCTCTTTATTTCATTTTAGTACACCATGTTCACCATTAAAAGCTTTTACCGCAAACATGACCAAAATGGTAATTGTCCTGTAGCAAGCTTTACAGTCGCAATTTTTCATAGATAATCTACTCGATCACCCAACAATGAAACGATATATTAAATGTTATTGCAATATCCTGCCATTTTCGTTACTATTGATGTTGGTAGGCATTTATTACCAGACTTTCGTGAGCGTTATCATCGGAAGTTCATTATGAAGAAAATATAAATGTTATTCTATTTATGTATTTTATAGAGAAAGTAAGAAATAAAATAAGGGCGACCTATAGAGACGGCTAGAGTCTATACCCTGGCTACACACCGCGTGGGGCACGAAATCGACCCAACGTCTTGGCACTGGGCCAGGACGACAGAAGAGGACGGTTGGAGCGCCGCCTTAAATTTGTGGCCGACTGTACCAAGCACGACCCGTATTCAGGCGTACCTTCCTTTCTGTACACTAATTACAAACCATTTTCATTTATTTGAGCCCGCGCTATAACGGGACTGTTTTGATTTGTTTCGTCTGTGCCACTATCCGAGATGTTTCATGTTTATAGCCACAAGACACCTGTATAAGTTCTTCGTTATTCGAACTACATTGAAATAACGAGAAAAATCACAACGTTGCAAAAATAATTCACCAAATTTCGGCTCATCCTTGTCCAGAAGTGGATGTATACGAGTTGATAATATACAGTTTCAAGTGCATTATTGAAATAATGAAGTCACCATCAGGTAATTTTGTGAGAAAGAAGCCCTCGAGGAGTACTCACTATGTTATTCAACAAAGACAGAATAGAGTAGGAAAATGTCAGTTTGATAATCAACTTATTGCTGCGATGTTATAGGTAACGTCCGAGAGAAAATGTCACGTCCTCACCTCACTCAGATGGCACATTCTTTGTGTCGCATTACCCGTATTATTTAAGATGTCAAAGTGAAAATGTCATGGACTTCCATCTAATATTTATTTAGTAACGATTACTCGTCTACTATACCTTAATATTCCAAACCTTGGAAAAAGTACTTCCTCTCATTTTTTTTCTGGCTTTGGCAATTTTGGAACTGCAAAATGTAGGGACACATACAGACTGTATGCTATATTATGTCGTCTTTGAGCACACGCGGTGAGTGCTAAACTTAAAGGACTTGAAGTATTCTGCAAACATGTCCAAAGAGTCGTTTGTTGTCATCAATCTTATGGCGGTAGACAAAAGTGGCATTACGTGATGGCATTAACATTATAGAACTGTATGAACACGAAGTAAAGATCTATTTAGTCGAAAATATTTAGTAAAACAAAATGCGTGGTTGTCAGAAGCGACTGCGAATGTACACATATTATTTCATTTCCTTCGATCTCAAAACCAGTGTGCATCGAAAATATTTTAACCTGGGCTCGAGTAATAGAGAGGGAGCTGCTTCATAGACAGGGTTATTTGTAAAAGACTAACAATCTCGCAGGACTGTAATATGAACATCATAAACAATAACTTTTGTTCCATGACTTTTAACAATTTCGGATTTTACTTTCATAAAAAATAACAATATTTAAATAGATTACTCTAAACCACAGACCACATAAATACTAGTAATAGACTGGTTAGTGGGCGGGGTCCGTGTTACCTAGCTTATCACCAGACGGGCATGTGAGTGTCAACAGCGCGTCAGTCGCCGTTCAAATGGATACATGATTATTTTGTGGAAAAAATATAAATATGCCATTATATTATGTCGCGTAAGAAGCCAAAGTTTAAAAAATACTCCAGGAGTGCTTTCCTTCCATCGGTAAGTACTAAATATTTTCTAATATTTTGAACAATACAGTACTATAATTTCGAAACAAAACTATTTTCTTGCAATTCGGTAATAACAATATACATTGGTTGCTAGACATCGCCGCCGTCAAAAGAACAATTGGAATGAAAATGAATTGTCAACTTTTTGCTTTTGTTCGAAGAAGTTTGTGTTCATAGGATTTTTAGCTTTTATGTGACTAGTAATAATAAAACCTTATTAGATCCAAAATGGATCCAAATAAATTTCAGTTTTATTTATTATTGTCTATTTTCGTATGACAATATAAAACCAATCAAAATTATGTTTTCTTAGTACAAATGTAAGATTACGTTTTCAAATGTATGTGTGTGGCGACACCGGTTTTGATACAAATGTTGCTTGATGCCATTTCCATTCTTTTTTTCTTCCGTGCTCTAAACAGTCATAAGTCTATGTGGTAATGGGGGGAATCGGGAGGACGCTTTGAACTTGCAACCCTACTACCAAATGCAGGTCTAAAAAGTATCAGATGCTACATCAAAAACGTAAACGTTCACTTTTGGTAAATTAATTATGTTTTATAAAAAGTCATAGAACAAAACTTGTTATTTGAGATGTTAGTAATATAGTCCTGCGAAGTTGTGAGTATTTTACAAATAACCCCGTATAGGGAAAAGAGACGTAGAAAATTGTTAGTCCTATAGAATTTCTACAATTTATATTTTAGTGAAATAGGTGCATTGGTAGATGAGAAAAGCGTGTACTCTTGTATGGGCTTTGTTTCCACAGTAAACGTTATAAAGATATGTATATATACCAAATGTTAAAAATAACCATTTTAACGGGGTAACCGAAATCTCATAATTAATTATAAAAAATCTCAAACCAAATTTCAAACTGACAGTAAATTTTTGATTCGCCACGTCTTATTATTGCATTCTTTCGAGGTATTTGGTACTCTCTTTGCACCCAACGAGCACAATGAACATGACTATGAATGTAATTCCGCAGGTAACGACTATCTCATAATTATAGTAGGTATTACACATAACATTTTTTTGGCTAAAGTTGTTCAGTATCACGGACCTTCCTTTTATTCCTTCGTACTGATACATTATTTGGCATTGTGAAATATTTGCCTGTACTTCACTTAACTTCACTTTATGGCCAGGGTGATACAATTGATGTATGACTGTGTGTATTATGTCTGCACGACAATAATAATCCTGACATATTCCCATTCGAGGAAAATTTATTTCACTGTGTTAATATTACAGATGAAACGGATGTCCAGTAATAGTCGGCAAAATAATGCCGATAGTGAAAATACGCCGGATACCGGATAGTAGGACAAAATCCGGCCGGATACCGGGTGTTTAAAATTGAGAAAAAATCCCAATCAGTACGCCAAATAAATTGAGTTATTGAATAAAGAGGATAGTAACAGGATAAACAGAACTACAGGATCGTTGACAATATGTATATACATATTACTTGTTTGAAAGAACTATGAACTTGATATGAAGACCAGTTCTTCTACATTAATTGGTAAAAGTCGGTTCTATTTATTTTCATAAACGAGACCAGCTTCAGATGATAGTTTTTGAGTATAAACTCTTGCAAACTTTGTTAAATTGTAAGAAGTTAAGTTGACTTACTTATTATTGCCAGACGACCGAATAAAAGTATCCCTATCATGATCGATTTGACCTATCTTCAAATAATAATCGATCTTCTGTTTTCGTATATACAATGTGTACCTACAATAATGAAACGTGTAAGTAAATTTAAATTTTTTTGGTAATCTGGTATCAAGGCTTAGGTTAGCTAAATCACAAACAAATTAATAAAACCAAATTGAGACGAAATAGTAAAGGGCGTATCAAGTGCTAGGCTTATACTTATAACAACTAGAAACACTTTTTCACTCTTAACATTTTTCTGTTGTGTATTTGTTTATATTATCGAATAAATCAACCGTTTTTGTAAAACTAAGTGACCACAACAAATCAAATCGTCAATGTGAAAGTGCAATCATTCAGTAATTAACCAATTACGGCGATGCGCGCTGTAAACCGGTCGCGACATGTTTACGGCAGTGGGTCAGATATCCGGCGGCCGGATATCCGGATATCCGGCCTGTGTGCTCGCCGGATCCGGCCAAATCCCTATCCGTTTCATCTCTAGTCAATATTTTAAGTGACTATACTCAGACCCTTTTTGTTTTGGTATATGTATATATACTATTTCACAGTTTAATAATTAAACTTTATATTTCCCTTCTCTGTGAGTATTGTAATAGAATACTAACGTGATTAGCAAGTTTACGCTAATACCCGACTCATTCAAAATACTGAGTAACAACACCATTTTGCATGTTGTAACTTAAGTAGCCTTTTGAAAATGGTAGAGTAATATATACGTAGTGTATTCTACATACACAAGAATATTGTAAAACTGCGATGTAACTGCAGGGGGCATAAAGCCACTTATGTTTAATTTAAAACGTAATCCTGAATGGTTACGTCGAGGTTGGAGGAAGACAACAATATATTGGATGTCATGGTTATATGATGACTGACCACGCTAAAGGACCGCAGACTGTGACAAACTATAATAGAATACGATTATGTACACAACAGCTACAATGTACGCCGAAATAAAGGGGATTAAAATACATTATATTTGGCTGACAAAGTCACGCGAATATCTTTAAACAAGTATTATTTATTGTAGGAACGTTTTAGTAACCACGATATTTAGGCACCAGGTATAGAGATCGTATTAGCGGAAATTGTGGAAGGAAACCCTAGCACTGACCGGGGAGTAATACCGAGAACACACAATACAAGGTTCAATTTAAAAAGTTAGTTTTTAAATTCTTTAAATGAGAACCAAACTCAGGTTGAACCCTAAAAGTATGCATCTAACATTTTATTATATGTATGACTTACCCCAGCAAGGCGGTTTCTTCTGCATTGACAGATGGCATATTGAAGTATGGCTTCTTCACTGCGTCGTCTATTCTGAAAAGGTGCAGTGTACATAGCTTACTCATGTGGGCGATAGGTGAAGTTACTATACTGTCTCATAATGTAGGTACCAATGATATGGGGTATACAGCGGAACTTAGTTGTTTATGTCGTTACTCCACTCCAGGTATACTGTATTTTCACCTCAAGGTCCATTTGTAAAGATGGAATAAGTGGTGCTATACATTTTTGGTATTTGTACACATAAGAAAAACTCCGTTTTCTGAGTCACACATTTTGTTGTAGAGTTTTTAAGTGGTTTGTAAACACCTGAGTCATGTCATGCTTGACATATATTCTTACAGTTTAATGTTTAAGCTGTAAGAATACAAAGTATACTTTAATATATTATTGTAAGAGAAAATAGCTAGTTACATGTTACATGAATTTGGTTGTTGACTTCATAATACAGTAATTCATATTTAATGAATGTTGGTATGGATCATGAATTTTATTTTGTTTATTTTCCAAACTAAATTCCACTGTATTTTTTGAACTTGAGCAACATAGTGTCTGCTCCACTTTAAAGTGAATTTTAGCTTTGTAACACGTTATGAGAAATAATTATGCAAATTAAGTAATTTTAAGTATTAGTTACACACTACTTAATGAATAAATCCTAATGTTTTATTTAGATGAATTAATCTATGCAAAAAACAAACAACAGCTTCTATAATACTAACTACAATGCATGAATGACTCTTATGAAATGACAATTTTTCAAGTGAGAAGCACGATGCATTCCATACAAACTAAATACTCACTCCATAGAGGCCTTGGGCACAAAAGGCAAATTCTGGTTAAACAAAGGCTCTAGTTTCTTCTGTGCAGTACCTCCAAGCCGAAGCATTTTCTTTACTTTCACACATTTCTTTTTTGGCACCGTTGTACCACGGTACACAATGTCCAGGAAGGTGTAAGAGCCACCACTGATCAAACCTCGATTCATGCCAACTTAACATCCAAAAAAAAATGAAAAAAGCATAATACATAAACAGGTTGCTTGAATATACACAGCAAATTAAAAATATTGCGCCAATTTTCGAAACAGCCCAGTGATGTTAGATTATAGTTAATGGAAGAAAGTGACGTCCCCTAAAGTTGCACTAAAACTTTTGCACTAGTTGTTAGTTGCGGCGTGCGATCAGCTGGGTTGCAGAGCACGTGTTCGTACGTAAAAAGTTGCATTTTCTAAATTATAACACTCTTACCTGCTTGTGTTATTCACTGCGTCAATGACTGAAGGGAAAGATACCGAGAGTGCGCGAATTTAACCGTTCAGGACTGGCGTACAGATATAAGCCACGAGGCGCTGATTTTACACAGCGCTAACGACTACACTCCTAGACCTTCTAGTCGGAGTGAACTGATTACGCTCGCTCCTCCCTCGCTGTCGGTGGATCTGGAGCTCACTTCGCGACGGACTCAAGGCGCTTGCGTTGTTTAATACGTCAATTATTCAATTCAAGCCCGGGAAACGAAGAATTTAAGTTCTCCCTGAATTCGTAATGCAACGAATCTAATTGTATAGTCTGTCTGCCGCATAACTATGAAACAAAAAAAATAAAAACAACTCGTCTAACACTTGACAATTATACAGAGCATTCTCTACGCAAAAGTATATTCATAAACTTACAGTAAATTCATGAAGAACAAAGTGAACAGCCTTCTTCTTCAAATCACATCACAACAAAAGCAACAAAACAAAATAGATTCATAGTTAAAAATTCTTTCGTGCAGCGGATATCTTTTGAGCGAACGACATAAACCCTTCGTTTCGAAATGGACTTAGTGAACTGTCAATGTATTTTTTTTTTATTTATTAAGGCTTTGGGGATTCGAACTTGACCTTTTGCAGGGAAAAGTGTCGTTTTTATTTTGACTTTCAATTATTTTGTGAAATTTAGTTTAAAGTGGAATAGGTTAGTGCTATCCAAAGCCATAACAAAAAAAAATTAAGGCTTCGGCAAAGCCAAGCCACAAGTTTAATTATGTTTCTGTAAATATGGCCGCCATAAAGAGGGTAGGCAATTTGAGGCGGCGTGCTTGGATTGACTCGGGATTCCTTAAAACGGGCCGATACGGGTATTTTAGTTCGAGATTCGTATAATTTCGCGTTTTAATCTTCGATTAAGGCACAATAGCACTGTCCTATTCCACTTTAAACTAGATTTCACAATATAATTAAAGTCAAAATAAACGACACTTTTCCCTCCAAAAGGTCCAGAGCGAATCATTATTAAGTCTTGTTTAACATATAATTATAATGTACAATTTTCCTTATGTGAGAGTGAATAAATAAATAAATAAATAAAAATAAATAACTCACTCCCCAATAACTCCCCACTCACTCACTCACTTATTCACCCACACACTTACTTATGCACGCACGCACGCACTCACTCACTCAATTACGCACTCACTCGCCCTATAAATTTATCATAAAGACCCATTTAGATGGAGAGAGTTTCTCGTCTCGAAGATGCGATTATCGAAAGAATATAAAAAACTTTCCTCGTCTAAACATTCGCGATTATCGCCCTTCCACGTGAGCGATAATCGCCTCGCCTTTACATGTTGAACGTCTCCTTTCCTTCCTTTGTGCCTGCCGTTTCTACCATGCGTGCAGTGCACGATCAGAGTTTTGATTATCACTGCTTTTGTAAGACAAGAATTAATGGAACGAGAGCGAAAAAATATTTTTCAAATATTGGTGAGTGAGTGAGTGCCTCTGTGGTCGAATATAGCGTGGGCAATATAGTGTTTAGGGTACTCTTGTAACGAATATGGCACTCCTTTCTAAATCCAGGATGGCACAACTTTATTTGGTGGTGCTAATTAAGAATATAGCATTTATTTCTAAATCCAAGATGGCCGACACGACTTTTCAAGTAAATGCACTTTTACTCACTCACTCCCTACTCACTCACTCACTCACGTATGCACGCACGCACTCACTCACTCACTCACTCACTCACTCACTCACTCACTCACGCATTCACTCGCCATATAAATTTATCATAATTGTCAGTTTTTGTTTGTGTCAATAGTTATAAAATTTAAAAAAAATGATAAACAAAATTATATTTCTATACAGTGCAATGAACTTAATATTATCAGCAGTCTCAAATTTGAATGATTTTTGCGTCATTTTGATATATCCATAGTCAATACCGCAGTAATCACTGAACTCGAATTGCAATTCTCGCACTCAAAACGGTTCGAACCGATTTGTACGATAATCGTATGAAATTGAAAAAATGTCATACGAGATCGTGTTTAGACAAGTCGAAAACTCGTAAGCAAGAATCTCCTTACTACAAATTTCTCCGTGTAAACAGAGGAGGCGATTGAAGGCCCATTTAGATGGAGAGAGTTTCTCGTCTCGAAGATGCGATTA